AGGAAAGAGAAAGAGGAAAGAGAAAGAGAGAGAGGAAAGAGAAAGAGGGGGAGAGGAAAGAGAAAGAGAGAGAGGGGAGAGGAAAGGGAAAGGAAAGAGAGAGAGAGAGAGAAAGAGGAAAGAGAGGGAGAGGAAAGAGGCATAAAATAATTCATTTGCATTTAATTGTAATGGTTCAAAGAATGTTCGGAAAAATGTTTGGCCCTCCAGCACGTTCACTTCATCCAATCTGGCCCTCTTTGAAAAAAGTTTGGACACCCCTGCATTAATGCATTCAAGGAGAAAACGTGTTGTCTAAAAGCATTGGAAGACCTGAATCTAAGTAAGACTCCATTCAATAGCAAATCGTGCTATTTAGCAAAAAGACAGACATCTGTTTTAAAAACATTACATTAGCTCAAGAACAAAATATAAGAAGGCTACTCCCAAAGTGCATCCATTATAGAATTGTGAAATATATAGCAAAAAAGAATAGTGATAGAAAAAGTTTTAATATTGGGTGCTGGATGAATTCCATAGTTTAAACTGCCACAATACATTGAACTATTGATACTATAGTTGCAGTCTTACATGGACACATTTTTTTCAGGACAGTGGGACTTATTTCCTTGAAAGACTGAGCTCATAACTATTTTTATTTTATTTTTTTACAAAATATGTTAGCATTTTTAAAAGAAATCCAGCTTGCTATCATGCAAAGCATCACCTTACATATTTATTTCCGGGAAAGTTTCTGAGCTTACATATATAGTATCACTGACATTCTTCAAAAATAAAATGAGGGTATGTCTGAAGTGGTAGAAATATCTTGGGAGCTCAGGGTTGACAAGGATAAATTTACTAGAATGGTCTAGGATACAGATACTCAGTGTTTCAGCTGTGATCGGGCATTTTCATGGAAGCAATTTTGTGCGAACACCTATAACATACTAAATACATCCATATCCATCTATTCTTTTTTGGGGGGGGGGGAGTAAGAAACTTTTTATACAGTAGAAAGCACAGAAAATGAGCTAGGAATAAGGAATTATGAGCCCAGGGAATTAAACAGATGAAAAAAGATAAGAAAATAATGCTTTGCTAAAACTAGTTTGTTTTTTTTCTTCTCATGCCTTTGAGTCAGTCTTGATTCCTGGCAACTACCTGGACAAATTGCTGGAGCTTTCTTGGCAAAATTTAAGGTGTGATTTGTCATGGCTTCCTTCCTAGGGCTGAGAGAAAGTGACTGTTCCAAGATTTGTGCCTAAGGCAGGATAGGACTCATGATCTCTCAATCTCAGCCCAGTGCTCTAACTACTACACCCTGCTGTATCGGAATCCAGAAAACTGTAGCAAAAGCAAGTGTAACCAATAACTTTGATTAATTTAAAACTGGGAGGAGAGAGGCAATCTTTCCCTCACTAGCACTAAAACCCAGTTGGGGCTACATTACTATTTGGGGAAGAGGGGTACAGTGGTTCCATACTGGATCACACCAACCAGGAATGATAGATGTCTGCCTTTTCCCCTGAGTTTAGTAGACCATTTGTTTTATAAATGGATTTAATCTCATTTTATGGCTTCCACAATAGGTACCTGTTTCGCATTTCAAAATAATCAAAAATACTTTTGCCAGGTAATTAGAAAAGCCTACTAAGGCCAGAAAAAACCAGGAAAAAAAGGGAGTGTAAGGACTACATGTGCCCTAGGGCATGAGGTTGTTCTGCTTTAGAGAAAGAACACAAAGACAGTATTATGTAGATGGCTTTATTTACCCTTCATGGGAACCAATCCTTTGATATTTCCTATTCCAAATTCATGAATAGGATGTTGTATAATATGGTAAATTTGGATTCTGAACCATACTTCTGTAATTGTGTTTTTAAGGTTTAAGGTTCCTCCCTCCTTCCTTCCTTCCTTCNAAAAGATGTGAGAATCAAGAAGAAAGGAAAAATCTATAGTCTTAATGAAGGTTATGCAAAGTATTTTGATCCTGCTGTGACTGAGTATTTACAAAAGAAAAAATTTCCTGAGGTAATTTACCATTTGACTCCCGTTAATTACAAGTAGTAGTACTTGGTGTATACATATTTAATATAGTTTAGCTTCGTATCTCCCACCGAGAATTTTGATTACAGTTGCATTAATGCATTCAAGGAGAAAACGTGTTGTCTAAAAGCATTGGAAGACCTGAATCTAAGTAAGACTCCATTCAATAGCAAATCGTGCTATTTAGCAAAAAGACAGACATCTGTTTTAAAAACATTACATTAGCTCAAGAACAAAATATAAGAAGGCTACTCCCA